TCTTTTAATCAAATGCTTTTTTGGTGATTTTTAGTGGACTTTAGAGAGAGTTCGTTCATGAACGATTTGTTCGTTTTGCGTCTGTCAGATAAATGACTTGCGTCTCAGGAGATGAATTAATCATTTATGTTTCTCAGAATTTATCTTAGATTTCCTAATTCAGGAAAATTATGTCTACATCAATTCTGTCTACATTTTCTACACTAGATCTATTGTTTTATCATTTCTAACTTCTTTTTGTCAAGTGTTTTGATGTTAACTGTTAACTGTATTGTCTGTCTGTATGATAAATTATATTTTCTGTTATGAATGACATTCAGATGTTTTTAAGTCTGTTCAAATACTGTTTGTGATTGCTATATGTAGACTTCTCTACATAACCGCAGCGCGATACGCTAAAACACAAACGCACATTCTGATGCAACAATGAGACAATCACTGCAGGCGAATAAATGAATCAATTACTGAGTCAGTAAAGAGATTCATTGAACCATCTCAAGACAGCAAGATCCAGCAACACATGGATAAACATTTACACATCACACACACACACACACACACACACACAGAGAGTACAGGTCACAGACAGGTTCACGCATTACTCACTCGACCAGAGCAAACACACATCATTCAGTGAGAGACTGAAGCTCCTGGCTGTGTGATTCAGCAGACGTGAAGTTTAACCCACACACACACACACACCCGGCTCGAGATCATGTGTGTATGTGTGTGTGTGTGTTGTGGTGGATTATTGGATGTTTGTGATGACTTGTTGAGATGACGATGATGATGATGATGATGATGATGATTCCCAGACAAAAGAACCTCATAAGCGTCACAAAGCTTAATTTTATTTAAAATTTGTTCTGCTGTGGCCCGCGGGTGAGTGAGTGAGAGAGAGAGAGAGAGAGAGAGAGAGAGTGTGTGTGTGTGTGTGTGTGTGTGTGTGTGTGTGTGTGCGCGGATGACAGAGTGGATTGAACTCCAATTAAACCAATTAAATTACAGATGGAGCACCACAAACAAATCCAACATCATGACATCAACATACATGTGACAGATAGATATATAGCTGGATGGATGGATGGATGGACGGACGGACGGACAGATAGACAGATAGACAGACAGACAGACAGACAGAGAGATTGACTTGTTCGTTAGTTAATTCGTCCTATCATTCATTCTGTCATTCGTTCATTGCATCTGTCATTCATTCTATTTTTCATTTGTTCATTCTAACATTTGTTCATTCTATCAATAGATCATTCCATTGTTAGTTCTATCATTCATTTGATCATTCTATCTATCGTTCTGTCATTCTATCTATCTATCTATCTATCTATCTATCTAACTTTCTATCTGTCTGTCCGTCCGTCTGTCTGTCTGTCTGTCTGTGTCAATCATTAATTTTATCGTTCGCTTTATCTATCATTCGTTCATTATATCTACCATTCATTTGTTCTATCGTTCCTTTCAGTCATTCTATCATTCTATCTCTATCGTTATCTCTTTCTGTCATTCTGTCTGTTTGTCTGTCTCTCCGTTTACTGTATTTCTATAATGACAACTCTCAGAAGATTTTTGCATGGTTATGGATATGACAATGTTAATGTATTTAGTCTTGGCTGCTGAATTGCTGCTGCTGTTGGTTATTGCTGTTGTTGTAGATTTTTGCTGCTGCTGCTGCAGAGCAAGTACGTGAACATGCTACTGACAATACATTTGCCGATAAGTTGCTGTGAGTATTTAAGACATGCTGCTGCTGCACAAATAGCATCTATAATAAACCGTAGCAGATCTATACAGGTGGAGCTGGGGAAGGTGGAGGGTTTCAGAGGAACTCAGGAAGTGCGCTGTGAACTGCTCTAGTGAAGGCTAACCAGGCATTTAAATGTAAAGCGGCAAGCTGTATATGCAACTTAAACCAATCATCTTGTGCCAAGCAGTTTAATGCTGTGAACATCATCAGTTTGCGTAAAGGACCCATCAGTCTGCGCCATCTAGAGTTTAATTGGCATTCATTCATTCATTCATCTACATCATTCTTTCTTTCTCATCCATCAGTCTATTGCATCTGTTTTTATATTTTAAAATATAATTCTCTTCATCTCTCTCTCACAGTATCTGCTCTAAACATTTACTGCTGCACAAAGGTCACGACACACCCATCCATTTATCTCTCTCTCTCTCCCGTATATCTTTTATACCCTTCCTCTCATTCCCTCCGTTTCTCGTCTGTCCTGCATTTGACAACATATCATTCCCGTAATTTCTTCATTCCTCTCATTTCATTAAATAAATCCCTCCATCTCCTGATTCCATTCATCACGCGTTCCCTCTCTCAGCTGAAACTCATTCAGAGATTGATTTTGCTCGCTGCTTTTAAGCGTTCAGATAAAGGTGTGTTAGGATAAAAGAGAAAACCCTTTCCATTCCTTATTCTCTCCTGCAGCCTGAGGAGACGAGCAGGAAACGATTAACTTCACCTCTCTCCCTCTTTCTCTCCATCTATCTCTCACACACACACACACACACACACACACTCACACACGAACACACACACACACACACACTCTCACACACGCACACACATGCACGCACACACACGCACACGCACACACACACACACACACACACACACACACACACCTTATTCCCAAAGCTGTCAGTATTCCGCAGCTGATGAGGGCTAAAAGAGCTGGAAGGCAGCCAGGGCAGAGATAACACACACATACACACACACACACACAGCTGCATCAGTACAGCAGTGGATTTTGCAGACTCAGGCTGGGCACCCAGTGTGCAAGAGTGCGAGAGGTTGGTGCCCAGCGGGAGAGAGGTTAAACTGGGATTGACTCGTCTCTGCTGGTCTCTGTCTGACGTTTGCTCATAAAGGTTCTTCAGTGGTTCCTTAAGTTCTTATCAAGAGCCATTTTTGGCTATTTAGGGATGAGTTGTTAGAAGATTCTTTACTCTCAGGAAAAAAAAGGTAAAATAGCTGTCACTGGGGTGGTACCTTTTCAAAAGATACACCTTTGTGCCCTGTTTACCTCTAAAGTGTGCATTTGGGCATCTTAAAGACACATTTTAGTTCCTACAGTTTACATATTAGTACCTAAATGGTACATATTAGTTCCTTCAATTAGTTCCTTCCCTTAAGGGTTCTGCCCCAGTGACAGCTTTTGTACCTTTTTTTCTGAGAGTGTTTTTAGATTCTTTATGTTTCATTATAGGCTTTTTAGATCACTATTTTGGTTTCTGATTTCTTTAAAGTGGCATGAAATTAAAACTCACCCTATCTATTTTCTAAATGGATGTTATAGATCTTATAGTGATTGTTTGTGCATGTTTCATTTTTAAAAGTTTTTCGTAATGTTGAATCAAAATGTCAAAACTGGATCTGAAAATGACAGACTTCTTTCTGGTGACATATGCAGAGCTTCTCTGATAATTTAGTCAGGTTAAACTCAGGCCCTTCATCCATTTTTGAGTGTCACGCCCACATATCAACATCCAATCAACAACTGATGCATAAAAGCAAGTCCCCGCCCCACATGTCTTTGTCGCTAATCTGTTACACTCAGATGTGCCTAACAATATGAAAGAAAAGATTTGGTGTGATTGGTTTCACCACCAATTTAAGCCTTTTAAAATTTAAAATATTAAAATTGAATATATCAAGCTGAAAATCATGAAATCAAGCTGAAATAAAATAAAATATTAGATGAAAAAAAGAGAAATGTGGCATAGGCAACTAAGTGAAATTCAAAAATTCAAACTTAAAAAACATAACCCTAAATAGTAATATAAAAATAAATAATAACAATAATAATAATAATAAAATTGACAAAAGCACATAACAGAATTACAAAAAAATATTAAAAATGTTAATAAAAAAACTAAAATAGTATATACATAATACACTCAAATAAAACTGCTGAAATCTGATGCCACTAGTGGTTCAGCCGTCATAATGTGTGCTTAATCTTTAAAGAGAGCAGATCTGAACTACATAGTCTCCAAGCTAGACCATTTCAAAGCTCACACAATCGTCATACTGAAAAGGCAATACAGAAATATATTAATTGAAAGCTCAATGTCCAATATGTTTCATCACAATATGTTTTTATGCTTTTTTCAATGCTTCTGATGCTCTCATTGACATCCAGTGAAGCACAATGTCTGAACAGGACCCAAAATGACATGTTTGAGGCCTGCTGTCCAAACATAGATCGCTACTGCACTAAAATCAATGATACAGGTAAGTGCCATTGACTCCCAGTGAAGTATAGATATGTAAAGGAATCTAATGTTCATGTAGATTAAAGTGAATTACGTTAAGTAATTACGTTTAATTGTTAAAACGGTTTTAAGTTCTCTATGGCCTCTTGAGTGCTGAGCTTTTAACAGTATGCAAACAGGCTATACACTTGCAATTCTCAAGCACTTGTGCCTGTGTCTGCATAGAAAACATTTCTGACCTACAACCTTTTTTGTTTCTGACTTGAATAGCAGGCAACTGAAAAGGAATCGACCGACAACCATCCTAAAGCAGCCAGAAATGGACAGTTGCACACCAAAGCATATGCTGAAAGCTGATCAAGTGTTGATGTTGCAGTGTATGCATGCACGCACCAAAAACACTAAATTAATGAAAAAGTTGCTCTTTAAAGCTGCAGTGTATCATTTCCCCACATAGAATAGCAAAAATAATGACTGTTTTCAATCAGGTTTCTCAGACACTCCCAATGCCCCACCTCACCTGTCATTGGTCAACAAACAGAAAGTCCCACCCCCAAACTCACTTCATTGGTTAAGCAAGAAGTTGACAAGTTGGGCCATTCAAACAAACAGAAAAATGTTTAGCAAGAGTCAGTGTCTCACTCTTCATGAAGTCAAATGTAACTCTGAACATGAAAAAGAGCCTAATCAAAGCACACTCGATTCAGTTTCAGACTGTGTCACATAATTTTTGACAACTTTTGACATCTTTCACTCACAGGCATTGGTGACTGCAAAGCTGTTGGCTGTCTCGATGTTGTCCACATGTGGAACCAGATTGAAAGGGGCTTCCGTGGCATTCGGACTCGTATTGTGAAGAAATATGGCCAAGCGGAAAGCTGTATATTCTTGATCCGTGTTTCTTATAAACAACCCACCTGGAAAGAGTGAGAGGAAGAAAGAATAAGTGACTGCAAAGAGGAAAGAAGCAAGAAAGAGGTGCTTAAGGACTAGTTCACCCTAAATTGGAAAATTGTTCTTTTACCTGCATGACTTTTGTTTTTCTTTCACTATAAATCATACTCTCGGCTAAAGCTCTAAAATCGTGCGTTTACATTAAAATATGGCACATCAATAACTCTAAACACCATTGGTTCTCATGTATCTCTGACTGTCAACTACCAACGACGTCAAATCTTGATGCACCATACTGGAATACACACAAATGTGAATGAAATCCAAGACACTGATTTTTTTGTCTTTTTAGGAGCTCGTTTGCCTTGGTCTGCATTCACTTTTATTGTACAAAATACACTCTTCAAGGAATAGTTCACCCAAAAATGGAAATTTGCTGAATGTTTACTCATCCATCCAAGATTGAGATGAGTTTGTTTCTTCATCAGATTTGGAGAAATGTAGCTTTCCTTCACTTGTTCACCAATGGATGCTCTGCAGTGAATGGGTGCCGTCAGAATGAGAGTCCAAACAGCTGATAAAAACATCACAATAATCCACAAGTAATCCACACCACTCCAGTCCATCAATGAACGTCTTGTGACGTGAAAAGCTGCATGTTTGTGAGAAACAAATCCATCTTTAAGATGTTTTTAAACCATTGCTTCTGGCCAAAATCTGAGTCCATAATTTATAATAATGCTTCCTCCAGTGAAAAAGTTAATCTCCTGTCGTCTCTCACATCAAAATCCACACACATATTTGTTTAGAGCTGTTTTTGACTGTTTAAACGGTGCTTGATCTGTGCAGATTTCTCTCCTGATTCAGACCAGACCCCTTTTTCAATGGAGGAAACGTTATTGTGTGTAAAGGACTCTTATTTTAGCCAGAAGCAATGGTTTGAAGTTTGAAATAGCGTTGATGGATTTATTTCTCACAAACACGCAGCTTTTGTCTTCTCCAGATGTTAACTGATGTACTGGAGTGCTGTGGATTATTGTGATGTTTTTATCAGCTGTTTGGACTCTCATTCTGACGGCACCCATTCACTGCAGAGCATCCATTGCTGAGACACTGATGCAATGCTACATTTCTCCAAATCTGATGAAGAAACAAACTCATCCTAATCTTGAATGACCTGAGGCTGAGGACATTTTCAGCATATTTTCATTTTTGGGTGAACTACTGCTTTAAAAATAAAGATTCCAGAAGGCGATTTTCAAAGCAATACCATTGAAGAACCTTTTTTGGTTCCCCAAAGAACCTTTTGGTGAACAGTTCTTAAAAGAACCTTTTTTCTTAGTATGAAGAATATTTTGAAAATCTAAAGAACCCTTTTCCACTATACACTCTTAAAAATAAAGGTTCTTTATTGGCATTGGTGGTTCCATGAAGAACCTTTAACAGCCATGGAACCTTTCCATTCCACAAAAGGTCTTTACAGTGGAAAAAGGTTCTTTAGATTATTAAAATGTTCTTCACTCTAACAACTTTTGGGAACCAGAAATTGTACTTCTATGGCAAATCACTGCAAAAAGACCCTTTTGGAACCTTTTTTTAAATAGTGTAAACCTTTTGTGGAATGGAAAGTTTCCATGGATGTTAATGGTTGTTCATGGAACCATCAATGCCAAATGAAGAACCATTATTTTAAGTGTGTAGAGCAGTGTGAACATTCTGTTAAACATCTTGTTTTGTGCTCCACAGATTTAATCAAGTCTACAGGTTTGGAATGACGTGCAGGGTGAGTTAGGTGATCATTTTTGGGTGAACTGTCCCTTTAATCATGGAAATTATCTGTGCGGAAGATCGCATTTGTTGTTGGTGTCACCAGAGCATGCATGTCTGCACTTGGCTGGGCCAGTGTCACGTTCTGTTTCATCACATCCTCCTAATTCTTCTCTCTTTTTGATGGACGTTTTGGCTCAGCTGCAATTGGAGATCCCATAACGTGCTATTATTTGCGACGAACAACACAAGCATTGTGCATGTGCATTGCAGCGGTACGTGAATGTCATTAGGCGTTGCGTGCAACTTTCCATCTCTCTCGCTCTGTGTGTCCGTATTTAGCGCATTAACTTTATCGGCAGTGCTGTCAAAGGCGCACAAGTCAGCGGCCGCATCTCATTATGGCGTGAGACTCTCCATCTCATTGAGCAATGCAGTGACTGAACACACACGCAAGACACATCCTGCAAAAAGAGAGGGAACTGTGTGTGTGTGCAAGACACACAGAGAGAGAGGGGTGGGCGGGCATGCATAGTGGTTTGCTGATGTTAATCAAACATAGAGCTGCAAATCTGGTGAAATGGGAAACTTTGATCAGACTCAGATGGGAAGAGGTCATCCCACATCGTACCAGTACAGAAAGACAAGACCGAATACTGCAGTGATGCTCTGAACTGGCAATGAAAGGTACAAAAGCGCACTCAATATGCACTTGACCACAATCTTCATCATGATGACCACAACTCATGCATGCTAAAGTACTCTAAACCCTTGAAAACATTATTCCACCCTAATAATACTGCATGTGCAGAGAATTACAAATGAATCTACAATCATTAAATATCACATTTAAGAAAAATAAAATGCTTAAATAGCACTAGATTTGGACACTTTTCAGGGCCATGACCACAAAAGACATTGTCCCCCTCAGCTGTCCCCTTTGCGTCCAATGAATTGTCCCCATTTTAAAAATAGTAGTCAACCATTATGTGTATTTCACTGTCTGATTCTTACATTTTAAATTGAATTCCCACAATCTTTTGCTTACAAGTTAATTGGCTTAACGCATTTGGTGCTCAAATGCACATGTTTAGGGTATTTTAAGGAGAACGGTGCAAGAACGAAAACCCCAAAACAAAGAGGCATTTCAGCACACAAGGTTCTTTAGGTAAAATAATAGCTTTAAACCCCTATTTGAGACTCATATCTCTGTGTATTTGTATGTAGTGTATAGACTAATTATTGTGAATTACTATGCACTATGTACATCGTATCTGTTGCACTGCGATATTCCTCGTGGGGTTAATAAAGTGCCTACACTCTTAAAAATAAAGGTGCTTCAAAAGGTTCTTCAAGCGATGCCATAGAAGAACCATTTTTGGTTCCACAAAGAAGCATTCAGTCAAAGGTTCTTTAAAGAACCATCTCTTTCTTGCGTTTTTATAATCTGAAGAACCTTCTTTAGCCACAGAGAACCTTTTGTGAAACAGAAAGGTTCTTCAGATGTTAAAGGTTCTTTATGGAACCATTTAGACAAAAAGGTTCTTCTATGGCATCGTGAAGCACCTTTATTTTTAAGAGTGTGCCTAGCGATCATGTTAGAAGTGTAACTCACCGATCTGGACACTGCTGGGAAAAGCCCCTTCACTGAGTCCCCACAGCAGCGGAATCAACACCAGGATCCGCATTCTGTCCGAATCAGAACCCGTCCGGACTCATGGATGGATGGATGGAGACGAGATAGTGTGACGGGAGGGAAATGAAAGGAAATAAATGAATAATCTCGCAAAGGGAGTTTCAGCAATCCATCCTACAGGAAATCCGTGTGTTCCCCGCAGTATCCACTGGAGAGAGAAGAAGAAGAATCTGTCCGGATGAACGCGCGAGAGAGAGAGAGAGAGAGTGTGTGTGTGTGTGTGTGTGTGTGAGAGAGAGAGAGAGAGAGAGATGCGCGCTCACTGCTTTGCCTCTGAGGTCTTCGGCTTTTAAGCTGTGTTTGCTGAGGCAAGTACCTCTGTTACTACTGCTCATACGGCTAGATATTTAAACAAACCCTTAAACTTACCAATTAAACTTGAGCTTATAAATCATCCCGCACTGTTTGTGCTCCAGACGTAAATGATTTTCCTCAAACCATGTGTCTTTACTACACGCGCCTTTACTTATAGAGTGACCAGACGCATCGTTTTCACCTGCTGGACCAGAAAACAATCCCACAGGAGCATACTGAAGGAGAGACCCCAGCCACAAACAGAATATCAAAGTGTGACTTGAGGGTTGACTTATTGGACTGGAAACCAACATCATAGCAACGCCCTAGCGACCACACAGCAACACTAAAACACTCACTGTAATATTCCTAGAAAAAAAAACATTAAATGCAATATTAATATATATTTAAGATTAATTAGATGTGTGTGTGTATATATATATATATATATATATATAAAGCGGCTCGCCTCTTTTTATCAAGTCGAGCGCCGCATATCCGTTGCATTAATAAGTTTCACTGATAAGAGCACGAGCTGAGCTGCTGAATATAATACGTCGCTCATGCAAGACGCGCGCGTTTTTTGCAAACATTTTCAAACATGCACTAGATGTTCGTCTTTAGCCCCTGCGGCGCGTCTCGCACCTTGCTTTTATCATGGCGTTTCACCTTAAACACTGTTCAACTCTTACAAACGCGCCGCGAGCCCCCTGCGTTCAGTTCCGTCCCAGCGCGCTGCGTCTGTCTGCTTTTTGAACGCAAGAACGCGTCCTGCGTGCGCTCTTTACAGACACAGAAACATGGTGTTCAGGGGTTAGTGCACAATACTTCACTCTCCTTCTGTTCTCTTCTTATGTCTTTCTCTCGCGTGCAACACAGTATGAGCCACATTTCATTTCCAGCTTCAGTAAGGCTGAACAGAATAGAACAGTGTATCAGTGTACAGTAGAAGAGAATAGAACAGAATATAAAAAAGTAGAATAGAATGGCATTGTATAGAGTATAATAGAATAGAATGGAACAGTAGAATAGAATAGAGCAGAACAAAGAACAGTAGAACTGAAAATAAAAGAACAGAACAGTGTACTGTAGAATATAAAGAAAGAAAGAAAAGGTGAATAGAATGGAGTTATAGAGAAGAATAGAATGGAACTGTGTGCAGTAGAATAGAATGCACTAGAACAGAATACAGAACAGTAGAATAGTGTGGAGTTGTATAGAGAATAATGGAATGGAATAGTGTAATAAAATATAATAGAACAGAATAGAGAACAGAATTGAATGGAGTTATATAGAGAATAATAGAACCGAGGAGTGTATAGAAGAATCGGATATATAGAACAGTAGAATAGAGTGGAACTGTATAAAGAATAATGGAATAGAGCAATGTACAGTAGAATAGAATATAATAGAAGAATAGAGAATGGAATTGAATGGAGTTATATAGAGAATAATAGAACCGAGGAGTGTATAGAAGAATCGGATATATAGAACAGTAGAATAGAGTGGAACTCTATAAAGAATAATGGAATAGAGCAATGTACAGTAGAATAGAATATAATAGAAGAATAGAGAATGGAATTGAATGGAGTTATATAGAGAATAATAGAACCGAGGAGTGTATAGAAGAATCGGATATATAGAACAGTAGAATAGAGTGGAACTGTATAAAGAATAATGGAATAGAACAATGTACAGTAGAGTAGAATAAAATAGAAGAATAGAGAATGGAATTGAATGGAGTTATATAGAGAATAATGGAAGATTGTACAGTAGAATAGAACATAATAGATCAGAATATAGAACAGTATAATAGAATGGAGCTATAGAGAATAACAACAGAACAGTGAACAGGAGAATAGAATATAGTAGAGCAGAACAGTTAAATAGAATGGAATTATACAGAGAATAATAGAACAGAACAGAATAAGAACAGTAGAATAGAATGGAGTTATATAAATAATTTTAGAATAGAACAGTGTACAGTACAATAGAATAGAATAGAATTGAGGAGAGTAGAATATAATAGAACCGAAGAGTCTCTCTCTCTCTCTCTATATGAAACAGAGTAGAAAAATTAATAAAATAAAGTGTAAAAAAAACAACAACCGTTAAACCGTTTTAGATGTTACACATGATGCACATATAGCTAGCTTATAACAGAATAGAGTAGAATATAATATAATACAAGAATATAGAATTTTACAGTGTATAATAAAACAGGATAGCAAATTTTACAAGTACAAACACCCGTGCAGTAACACTTAGCATGCAATGTAGTGTAAACACAAAGTACAGTGTAAGTGGTATTTGTGCAGGTAAAGAGCTCTCTCTCTCTCTCTCTCTCTCTCTCTCATCCTCTGACTGAAAACTCTGCCTCAGGATTATTTGCACGCACAGCCCATAAATCCATCAGGCCTTTTCATTCCAGAGCAGCCCGGATCAGTTTCTCCTCAGCGTTCACCTCTCTAAAAAGGTTTCATCCCCTCACATATTTATATATTCTCCGGTTAATATACGAGTTTTACTGCTTTATGACATTTGGCTCGTTCTTGCGGCACGGGTCTCCACGTGGCCAGGCGTCAGGCCGCAGCTGTGTCTGATTGCCCATTCATAATCGTTACGGCCTCCGGTGGCACTGACAGACGGATTGTGGAGGCTCCCTCGGTTTCTTTAGAGACTTAAACGACAGAAACTTGTCTCTTGAATGGTTAGATGGCTGGAATATGGCGTATGGCTGCTGTAATCATTAAGAGCGATCAGTGAAGGGTCCCTGTGTGTAATAGAGTGTGAATGTTGCTGTCCGTGGTGCTGAATGCTGGACAGAGCCACCACTTGCTTTTTAAACAATAATAAGTTATTAAAGAAGTACATTATTTTAATTAATTTTATTATGTATTACATTTATTATTCTGTAACTGTAAATATGTAATATTATTTTTCTAAATTAACTAAATATCCTGGACTGGACAACTTTTATTGACATGTTTTGTAACTTTTCATTCCCATTCCAATAAAAATACACTGTTTTTGAACTCTCTTTTGCTCACCGAAGCTGGATTTATTTGATTATAAAAATCCATTAAAAACAGTAATATTGTGAAATTTTATTACAATTTTAAATAATTGTTTTCTATTTGAATATATTGTAAAATGTAATTTATTTCTGTGATGCGCAGCTGTATTTTCAGCATCATTACTCCAGTCTTCAGTGTCACATGATCTTCAGAAATCAGTATAATATGCTGATCTGCTGCTCAAGAAACATTTCTGATTATTATCAATGTTGAAAACACTTGTGCTGCTGAATATTTTTGTGGAAACTATGATGCGTTTTATTTTTAGGATACTTTGATGAATACATAGTTGAAAAGAATAGCATTTATTTGAAATCTTTCTTAACATTATAAATGTCTTTACTGTGACTTTTGATCAATTTAATTAATCTTTGCTGAATGAAAGTATTAATTTCTTTAAAAAAAAAATTCTGACAGCAAAGATTTGAACAGCAGTATATACTTTGTTTTTTAAATAAATACTATTTTTGTGTGAAAATTGCAAATCAATTTAAAGAACACATTGTTTATTGTTTCCATTGTACAAAAGCCAAAACTAATTATAAATATACAATAATAAATATAAACAATCAAGTTTTTTTTTGTTACAATTAAGTATTTAGCTTACAGCATATATTTTTCTTTAGACTATTAGAGTAGTGTTACATGTATAAACCTGCACTTTCAAATGAAAAAGTACAGTAAAAATCATAAAATTACAGAGAATGTTGCGATTAAACCTACCTTTATATATAATGCAAGGTATTCATAATGCACGTTGTAATGCATTATATCTTTTCATGAGTAATTGTAACCAACGTTAAAATGCATTATAATAATATGAGGTTTGTTTGTTGTGTTTTTAAAAAAAAAAAGTGTAACAATGCATAGATAAGTATCATAATGTATTAAAACTGTGGTTAGAATTATTCATGCAATGCATTATAAGGTTTTATTCTTATAATACTACTTTTATAATGCATTCTATATAAAGTGTTACCAGTATTGCCTTAAAATTACAGTATGTTATCATAGTACACAAAACTTTTATTTTATAAGAGATCAATGGAAAGTTGAAATCTCCTGATGTCGGAGCACTCGAGGTGTTGTTGTGTCTCTCGGTGAGCTCTTGTGCAGTGGTGTAGTAGTATCTCTGTCTGTGAGGCATTACTTTGATGACTCTCTCAGTGAGGCGTAATGACTCTCTCGCTCTCAATGACTAATCGCCCTCCTGAGATGTTATTAAAGAACTGGATGGCTCTGATTTTAGGGGCATTCCTTTTTACCGTGTTGAGCATGTACAGTATTTCATGGAGGTCGTGAGAGAATTGATGCATGTGAAATCTCGCTCGCTCTATATTGGTGTGTTTCTTCACCCCTCTTTACCTCCTTCTTTAATACTCTAAAATCAAGTGCTTCCAAAGAAAGCTTTCAAAGGATGTGCCGATCAATGGAGTCTGGAGGGACGTATCGGATCCCAGTGCCAGAGAATAGAATATAGTAGAGCAGAACAGTTAAATAGAATGGAATTATACAGAGAATAATAGAACAGAACAGAATAAGAACAGTAGAATAGAATGGAGTTATATAAATAATTTTAGAATAGAACAGTGTACAGTACAATAGAATAGAATAGAATTGAGGAGAGTAGAATATAATAGAACCGAAGAGTCTCTCTCTCTCTCTCTATATGAAACAGAGTAGAAAAATTAATAAAATAAAGTGTAAAAAAAACAACAACCGTTAAACCGTTTTAGATGTTACACATGATGCACATATAGCTAGCTTATAACAGAATAGAGTAGAATATAATATAATACAAGAATATAGAATTTTACA